TTGCTGACATTGTTTTCATGGAAACCAAATAAATTGGTGCCACTTCCTGGGTTTAAAAGATGTGTTCATCTGTTGTGTATTTCATGTAGTCTGTGTTTTTTCCCCTCCTCCAAAATATTTTTGTGGTTCCTTTTGCTTTAGGCACTAACTAGCAACGTTTTAGAGAGTCATCTTTTCTGTGCCATGTTTTGTTTATGAAGTAGAACTGCTCTGGTTTGCTTCAGATGACCCCATCAGCAGCAGGAGTATGCTGGTGCCTTACAGGGACATGGCTCATAGGTGCTCTGGTCCTGCCTTTGTAGCAGGAGTGTGTTACACAAAACCTGAGAGATTGCCTTGCACAGGCACCAGCCAGACTTGTTAACATAAATGCAGTAATTTAAGGGAAACTGTTCTTGCAACATGGAGTATCTTGATCAGAATATGATTTAGTTGTGTTTTCTTGTAAGTCCCTCGTATGTTCACGCTGAAATGACTTGGCTTGGCTTTCTTCTGTAAGGATCACAAGACTCCAGGAGGCATACAAGCTGTTTTGAATCAGACCTTTCTGAAAATGGAATACTTGACAGTTATGAATAAAGTTATTTAACAGTCAACTTCCTGTGGTTTACATGCATTTCTGAATCAGGAGGAGGCTGAAGGGCTGCAGCTGAGATGTGTACACTCCACCTCAACAACAAAAAAGGGCATCTTCTCCAAGCAATCAAAAATCTGATGTTCTGATGTATTTTAATACTGTACTAAAAGGGCAAAAGTGCAGTCACCTCACTCTGGAAGGTCTTTGAAGCTACTGTGTAGGCCATTCATTGTGTGGTACTGGTGTGTGTTCAGCTTTGCTTTGCTGCAGTATGTCAGCATGCTCACAAGAAGTGCTCTCCAGCCTGTGTTTGTCACTTTTCCTGGCACCTTTGGGCCTGTGCTTCAGGCTCAGTAGAAGGATGCAGGCAGGAGTAAGGCTGGGTGGTGTGGTTCCTGCAGTGTAACAGGGCACTGGTAACCTTCAGCCACGCTTCAGGAGTTTGCAGTTCAGAACCACTCAATTGGAAAAATGTCTTTAAAGGGTTCACGTGCATTTGAAAAAATAAAAGTTCACCTGCAACTAATCAAAGACCTTCGCTATAATTTTCTTAACTAATCTTTAATTTAAATTTCCATTGTATGTGCTTACAGAACATGGGTGTGCAGATGTGAGGGATGGCATGGAGAAGTACTGAGCTTCTGCTCCAGGGTCAGGAGGCTCTGCAGGGGGTCTGGACAGGCTGAGTCAATGGACTGAAGGCAACTGGATGAGGTTCAGTGAGGCGAAGTGCTGGGTCCTGCACTGTGGTCACAACAACCCCAGGCAATGCTGCAGGTTTGGGGATGAGTGGCTGGAAAGCTGTCAGGCAGAAAGGGACCTGGGGGTGCTGGTGGACAGCTGGCTGACCATGGGCCAGCAGTGTGCCCAGGTGGCCAAGAAGGCCAGCAGCATCCTGGCCTGGATCAGAAATAGTGTGGCCAGCAGGAGTAGGGAAATGATTATACCCTTGTACTTGGCACTGGTGAGGCCACAGCTTGAGTCCTGGGGTCAGTTTTGGGCACCATGGGATGAGAAGGACATGGAGGTGCTGGAGCAGGTCCAGAGAAGGGCAAGAGGCTGGTGAGAAGGCTGGAGAACATGGCTTGTGAGGAGTGGCTGAGGGAGCTGGGGTTGTTTAGCCTGGAGAAGAGGAGGCTGAGGGGAAACTGTATCACTCTCTACAACTCCCTGAAAGGAGGAGGTTGCAGTGAGGTGGGTGTTGGTCTCTTCTCCCAGGTTACTAGCGGTAGGATGAGAGGAAATGGACTCCAGTTCTGTCAGGGGAGGGTTTGATTGCCTATTGGGAAGAATTTCTTTACTGGCAGAGTGGTGAGGCGTGGGCCCAGGGAGGTGCTGGAGTCCCCATCCCTGGAGGGGTTCAAAAAACGCATAGATGTGGCACTTGGGAACGTGGTTCAATGGTCATGATAGTGTTGGGTGATGGCTGGACTTTATGATCTTAGAGGTCTTTTCCAACCTTAGTGATCCTATGATTCTTCACGGGGGCAGATCCTGGAGTTTCTCAGTCACAAGGTTCTGTGCTTGGGGTGGCTCCCCTGTGGCAGCAGATGGAGTTCTGCAGGGGCTGGCGTGGGGAGGCGCTGGGGCACGGTGGGGAAACCCACTTGCTTTCTTCCAGTCATCTTGGGAAAACCAGAGTGTTTAGCTGGTCTAAAGGGAGGTTTTAGAAAGTGGCAGCTGCCTGTTGAATACAGCAGCTCAAGTGTGGCCACTGTCATCGACCTACAGAGCAAGCTCTGGCTCTGTAACACCAAGAAAAAGCAGCCTAGCACAGAAGGTGTCTGCAGAGCTCTTGTCCCACAGGGTTGTGATAAATAATCTTCTTGCTCAGTTTTAGTGGTGTTGTCTTTCCTTGGGGGCTGTGTGGTGGTTTTTCAGTGGATTTCTGTTTATTCTTGCACAGAGTACAGAGGTTCATGCCTTTGGAGAAAGATGGGAAGTCTTGTGTGGCCGCTTTGTGGTGCTGCCTTTTTGGAGCTTATTTAAAATGGGTCACAACTCTTCAGTTCCATGGGAGTGTGTTCTGATAGGGATCTTAGCCACGGTAGTTTGCTGTTCAAGAGGATCTGTAGTAAGAGCTCATCTGCTGATAGATGTCCAGGTCAGGTAGAAAATTCCCACTCCTCAAGGCACTGGCTGGTAGCTGTGTGGTCTGGAGGGACTTCTGGACTGTGGTGGAAGGACAGATGATGAATGTGGAGCTAAGTTCTCTATGCCATGCAAATTGATGACAGCCAATGACTGAACAACTTTGATCCTTAAATACAGACTTGAGTCATGCTGATGGTGCTTGGCTGGTGTGTCCTATGCGTTGTCTAAACAAATTTTTGTAAGGGAAGAGCCCAGTGACTGAGCTGAAGATGTGGAGGAGGCACACTGGTATGTCACTGCTTTACGAACTGTGTTATGCTTGGAACTGGTTGCTTTTATAGTTCAATCTCTTGAGTTTCAGAATGGCCACCTTGATGCCTGTCTGCCACTGGCTGGGGTAGGTGACAGCCCAGAAGGCTGAGCAGGCTCCATGTGCTCTCTGGCACAGCCTCACTGCTGGACCTGTGGCTCTAGAGCGTCGCTGCTGCTGCAGGCCCGTGTGCTTTGCATCTGTGTTTTCAGGAAATCCCCTCTTCTGGGAAGCTGCTGCTGGGGGTGTTCTGTGACCGTTACAGGCTGTCGTTTCTCTGCTCCAACTGTGCAACCCTTTGCAGTAGCAGTAAGCTCTGGGACTTAAAGGAGAGGTAGCAACTCGTTACCTATTCCAGGACTGCAGAGTTAATGCTGCTTTAGGGAGCAGGCATTGCCATAAGCAGGATAAAAAAGAGCTGTCTAAGATTAAAATGTATGTATGCACACACACACACACGCCTACTTAGAGCCTCTGAGGCTCAGGTATTGTAGAATAAACACCTCCACTTAATGAGTCTGAAATCTGGCTGATTGGTACGGAGTCCTGTGGGGGAGGGAAGGTTGCCAGCTCCTACTAGGACCTAAAAAAGAAATGAAGTCTGACCTTAAGCTTTATTTTGTCTTAATATTCAGCTCCAGGCAGTGGCCTTAACACTAGGAAGGCCTGTTTTCTGGTCCTTTAACTCCTGCTTGGGAAGCTTGGTAGATTTGTGCATCAAGGTGGTGTATT